AGCGCGTCGTGTACAGGGACCCAAAGCCAGAGAACGTCTTGCTGGATGACCACGGCCACATCTGCCTCTCCGACCTGGGACTGGCTGTGCTTGTACCCGAGGGCTAGACCATCAAAGGCCGTGTGGGCACTGTGGGCTACATGGCTCTAGAGGTGGTGAAGAACGAAGGGTACATGTTCAGCCCTGACTGGTGGGCGCTAGGCTGCCTCCTGTACGAGATGATCGCAGGCCAGTCACCCTTTCAGCAGAGGAAGAAGATCAAGCGGGAGGAGGTGGAGCGGCTGGTGAACGAGGTGCCCGAGGAGTGTTCAGGGCACGTTTCCCCACAGGCCCGCTCACTCTGCTCCCAGCTTCTCTGCAAGGACCCCGCCAAATGTCTGGGGCGTCGTGGGGGCAGTGCCCGTGAGGTGAAGGAGCACCCCCTCTTTAAGAAGCTGAACTTCAGTCGGCGGGAGCCGGCATGCTGGAGCTGCCCTTCAAGCCTGATGATCCCTAGGCCATTTACTGCGAGGATGTTCTGGACACTGAGCAGTTCTCCACTGTCAAGGGCTTGGCGCTGGAGCCCACTGACCAAGACTTCCACCAGAAGTTTGCCACAGGCAGCATGCCCACCTCGTGGCAGAACGAACAGATGGAGACGGAGTGCTTCCAGGAACTGAATATCTTTGGGCTGGATGGCTCAGTTCCCCCAGACCTGGACTGGAAGGGCCAGCCACCTGCACCCCCTAAAAAGGGCCTGCTGCAGAAACACTTCAGTCGCCAAGATTTGCTGTGGAAACTGCAGCAGCAGTGAGGAAGAGCTCCCCACCTGCCTCTAGCCCCGAGCCTGAGGCCCCCACCGGCAGTTGGCGGTAGCAGCTGCTTCAAGTGCTGTTCACAGTTTTGCACAGTGGTCTTCCCCATTGTCCACTCAAGTGGTGGCCTGGGGAGCACAGATGGAACTGTTCCCAGCGTCCTCCGCCCCTCAGCCCCTGGCCTGGCTGAGTGTGGCAAGGCCTGGGCTGTCCCTGGGACAAAGGTGCGTCCCTTCAGCTCTTCTCTGTGAAGCTCGGGGCTTTCTGTATTTATACAAATGTATACAGCGACCAAAGCGTTCTTAATTCCCACCGCAGACCTGGCGCCCCCACCTTGGCTCCTGGGGGCAGCCAGCCCTGGCTGGGAGAGTGGGAGCTGACAGAGGAGCCACTGCCAAAGTCAGGGCTCCTCCGGCCCAGTTTGGACGGCTGAGGGTGGTCACGGCCCTGAGCCCTCAGCACTGTGTTGGGTCACCCCCTGCATTCCCCCAGCCTGAGTAAGACTCGTGCCTGCCTTTGCTGCCTTGGGCTCCCGCTGCTGCCCTGAGGGGCCCAAAGCTGTCCCTTCTCAGTGCTTGTCAGAGCTGGATCTGGGGCCTCTGTGTCTCCTGGGCCTGTGCCAAAGTGGCCAGAGATTGGGCTGGCGGTGAGACCCATCAGTCCACTGCCCCAGCCAGCCCAGATAGGTCTGCCTCTGCCTTCCAGCTCCCAGGGCCTGGTCCCTGATGTTGGGCCCTGTCCTGAAGACACCTCTTTCAGAAACGCCGGAGCCCAGCCCCTAGGAGGGGGTGGGGCATCCCCTGGACAACCCTCAAACATTCCGGACTCCCCTCATAAAGATAGATACATGTGCCCAGCCCAAAAAAAAAAAAAAAAGTGCTATCACTGGCGTATGATGCGATGTAATTTCCTACATGGGGATCTCAGAACAGATTAGAGAGTTTAGCAAGTTTAAGATCAAAATATTAGATCAATTCATTTTGTTAAACCAACAACCATTAGTTATAAAATTAATTTGAAAAATATTGCTTACAGTAGCAAAAGCATATCTAGGGATAAATGTTAAGACCGATGTGTGTGCATAAAATGTGTAAACTTTATTGAAGGACATTTAAGGAAGATCTGCCTAGTTCTCCTCCATGTTCAGAGAAGGGAAAAGGACAGCTGTCAGGTCTCTCAAAGTTGCTCCTAACACTCAGTGATGTTCCCGTCGAAAGCCAGGCATTTCTCTAATATGACAAGGTAACTCTAGAATTCATTGAGGAGAGTGCAGGGCCAGGGTTAATTAAAACACTTGTGAAAAAGAGGCGCATTTGCTCTGTAAACACCAGAACTTATTATAAAACTGTTGTGATGAAACTGTGTAGTTCTGGCCACGAGAAGGGCTTAGAAGGAGTGACAGGCCAGAACACTGAGCATGCCGGGCCTCGAGGTTTTCGAAGTATCATTCTCTGTTAAGAGGAGCCCTGAGATTGGGCGCAGTGGCTCACTCCTGTAATCCCGGCACTTTGGGAGGCTGAGGCAGGCAGATCAGGAGATCAAGACCAGCCTGGACAACATGGTGAAACCCTGTCCCTACTGAAAATACAAGAATTAGCTGGGTGTGGGGGCGTGTGCTTGTAATCCCAGCTACTCTGGAGGCCGAGGCAGGAGAATCGCTTGAACCTGGCAGTCGGAGGTTGCAGTGAGCTGAGATCATGCCACTGTACTCCAGCCTGGCGATAGAGCAAGACTCCGTCTCAAAAGAGGAGCCCCAAGTGCTTGGAGAGAGAAGCAGCTGATTCCAGGGGTGGTGCAGCAAGAAGGAAGGCGAATCTGGAACCCGAGGAACTGTACTGTATTGGAGTGGAGAACGGGAACTGGAGAATCCGTAATGCTGCATGTAGAGAAACAGTAATTCACAAAGCTGTAATAAGGTTCAGTATGTGAAAGACCCAAAATTGGAAACTTTTTGAGTGCTAACATGCTCAAAGGAAATGCTACTCGGAGCATTTTGGATTTTCAGATTAGGGATGCTCAGCTGTGAAGTATAATGCAGCTATTGGGAGAATCTGAGAGTAAATATGTATTTGCTTATCTGTATATTTGATACACATTTTCAGATTTATATATACAATTTTTTTTTTTTTTTTTTTTGGGGGACGGAGTTTCGCTCGTTACCCAGGCTGGAGTGCAATGGCACGATCTCAGCTCACCGCAGCCTCCGCCTCCCGGGTTCAGGCAATTCTCCTGCCTCAGCCTCCTGAGTAGCTAGGATTACAGGCACGTGCCACCATGCCCAGCTAATTTTTTGTATTTTTTAGTAGAGACGGGGTTTCACCATGTTGACCAGGATGGTCTCGATCTCTTGACGTCGTGATCCACCCGCCTCAGCCTCCCAAAGTGCTGGGATTACAGGCTTGAGCCACCGCGCCCGGCTATATATACAATTTTTAAAATATAAACATAGGTAGAAGACCCAAATCGAACATAAACACACATATATATGTATATGCCTCATGTCTTTTTTTTTTTTATTATTCTTTTTCAAATTTTTTGAGACAGGTTCTCATTCTGTCACCCAGGCTGGAGTGCAGTGGTGCAGTCACGGCTCACTGCAGTGTCGACTTCCTGGGCCCAAGCGCTCCTCCCACCTCACCCTCCCGAGTAGCTGGGACTGTAGGCACACAGCACCATGCTTAGCTGATTTTTAAATTATTTTTTGTAGAGATGGGGGTCTTTACTATGTTTCTGTTCTCAACTGGGGCTCAGGTGATCTTCCCACTTCCACTTCCAGCTTGCTGGGATTATAGGCCTGAGTCTGGCCAGTTATAAAACTTTTTGATGAAGAGTACAGTTGAAATCTGTAGTAACTTTCCTTGGCTTTCTCTGCTGGTGTGAACATTCTAGTCCTTTTCAGTTGACCTCTTACTCCAGGTTTGTTCTGTAATACTTTAGATGCTGGACATCGAGAATGTGGCATGTACTGTGCACGCCATGTTCCGCAGGCTCCTCCTTGGCCCCATCTGGGATGAGGTTGGGCTGCATGGGTCTGTTCAGTGCTCCCAACAGTGCGCCGGGCAGCCCAGAGCCCCTCTCCTGGCTCCTTCCCGCCCTTCAGGCATAGCTGTCATTGGCTTGGGCCTGGGGTTCTGGAAACCGCCCTGTGACGTAGGAGGCTCTATCGTTTTTGTTTTTCCTTCAGCTACTTAAGGTTTGAGGGCGAATAGGGCCCTATTACTGTTTTTGTGACAAGTAGAAGTAACTTTAACACTTTTTTTTTTTTTTTTTTTGAGATGGAGTCTTGGCTCTGTCACCCAGACTGGAGTGCGGTGGCATGATCTTGGCTCACTTCAACCTCTGCCTCCTGGGTTCAAGCAATTCTCCTGCCTCAGCCTCCTGAGTAGCTGGGATTTTACAGGTGCCCGCCACCACGCCAGGCTAATTTTTTTGTAGAGATAGGGTTTCACAATTTTGACCAATATGGTCTTGAACTCCTGACCTTGTGATCTGCCTGCTTCAGCCTCCAAAGTGCTGGGATTACAGGCGTGAGCCGCTGCACCCGGCCTGTTAGCCTTTTTAGTGTTGGTTATGCCTTCAGCACGGATACTATTCACCCATTTTTAATTTTTTCTTGTTGAATTTATTGTGTCTTTATTCTCACTTCCCTTGATTTGTAGATTTCAAGCCTGGGTTACTGTGTAAATCCTCAGAAAGTTTTCATTGCTTTTGCTTTTCTCTTATCCAGTCAAATATTTCTACCAACACGAGAGTAATTGAACATATTTTCTTTTCTCACCTAACCCATGGTAGCTGCTTTCTCTCCTAAACCTCCTCCCCTCTCTAGTATTACGTCTGTGGCGGGCTGTGCTGGTCCTTTCTGCCTGAGCCCTTTCTCCCCTGCATTGCTGCTGCTTCCTGTGTCTCCCACCCCCCTGCCCTAGAAGGCCGGAGTCAGGGAGGTGGGGCTTTGATCCCCTCTTTGTCTCCCTTGCAGCTCCTGCCTGCTTGGCCCTCATCCAACATCTGCCTTGGGCTATTTACTGACGGATGGGGCTTTATCTCGAGGGTGGGTCCCTGAGGACAGGCATTGCTGGAGTCTTCTTCCCCTACTACCTCTCCCCCATTGGGGATTGTCACCATGACCCTTGGTGTGCGTATCGGAGACTCAGTGTGGAGCTGAGGCAGGACCTAGACTGAAACGCTGTGTGTGATTTCCTCTCCTAGTGGGCATCCCCACCATCAGATGGTGCGGGGCAGAGGGGGACTACAACGTCATGGTGATGGAGCTGCTGGGGCCAAGCCTGGAGGACCTCTTCAACTTCTGTTCGAGGAAATTCAGCCTCAAAACTGTCCTGCTGCTTGCCGACCAGATGGTAAGGACTGCTCACTGACACTCGGTCGCTCGGCTGTGCTGTTCTTGGCATTATTATGGCTGTTAATTCGCAGAGGAAATGGAAACGTGTTGAGCCTCAACCTCGAGGCTAAGGTGGCACGGCTGACTGGCTTGGAGGCCACCCTCTCGGTACCAGCACAGCATGCTTCCGTTTAGTGGGCTCCCCGAGTCTCTCAGGGACACGCATGTGATTCCTAACCACATCTGTGCAGTGTCTGTTCATTCTCGTGTGTATCCTTTGTGAAGAGCGGAGCTGGGAGAGACCACTGTCTAGGGGTGGGGGTTGTCCCCTCTCTCTGTCATCTCATCTCTTTTTTTTTTTTTTTGAGATGGGGTCTTGCTCTGTCGCCCAGGCTGGAGTGCAGTGGTGTGATCTCGGCTCACTGCAACCTCTGCCTCCCTGGTTCAAGCGATTCTCCTGCCTCAGCCTCCCAAGTAGCTGGGACTACAGGCGCGCGCCACAACACCCAGCCAATTTATGTATTTATAGTAGAGAAGGGGTTTCACCTTGTCGGCCAGAATGGTTTCGATGTTTTGACCTTGTGATCTGCCTGCCTCGGCCTCCCAAAGTGCTGGGATTACAGGGGTGTGCCACCAGGCCTGGCCCTCACCTCTATTTTGCGGGAGCAGAGGGCAAAGCGCCTAGGTTGTGGAGGATGGAGGGTTGCCGAAGGCACCTGGGGGAACAGTTTGGTCAGTTCTGCGTCCCCTCACTAATGGTTAAACTACCCTGCTGTGGCTGAGGGGCAAAAGGAACACAGCAGCTGGCATGGTGTCCTGCAGTCGAACGGTCCCTTTCTGAGGCCACCTTGGGGTGCCATCTCATGCCCTTGCTTCTCTGCTCACAGATTAGTCGCATCGAATACATTCATTCGAAGAACTTCATCCACCGGGATGTGAAGCCGGACAACTTCCTCATGGGCTTGGGGAAGAAGGGCAACCTGGTGTACATCATCGACTTTGGGCTGGCCAAGAAGTACCGGGACGCGCGCACCCACCAGCACATCCCCTATCGAGAGAACAAGAACCTCACGGGGACGGCGCGGTACGCCTCCATCAACACGCACCTTGGAATTGGTGAGCCCCTGGGTGTGGGGTCACTGGCCTTGGCCTAGGGTGCCTTTTGGGTGTTTGTCTCCATGCCTCAGCCCAGGGAGAGGCCAGCCTAGCTGGGGGTGCGAGCGTGTCATCAGACCTTTGTGGCAGACAGGGTGGCTCATGGCTGCCAGGTGTGCGGGGGCGGGGGGTAGGCGGATGCTGGGATGTTTCTGAGTCACCTGTGATGTGTTTGGGAATTTCCTGAGGATGCATGAAGGCAGCTTTGGGTGAGAGTGATCCAGGCGTGTGTCTGAGGGTTGTCTCTGCTGTGTCAGCAGGTTCTTTTGCTTTTACATGAGCATATGAGTGTCGTCCTTCACGCCGTTTCCTTTTCTTTTCAGAACAATCCCGAAGAGATGACTTGGAGTCTCTGGGCTACGTGTTAATGTACTTCAATCTGGGCTCTCTCCCCTGGCAGGGGCTGAAGGCCGCCACCAAGAGACAGAAATATGAAAGGATTAGCGAGAAGAAAATGTCCACCCCCATCGAAGTGTTGTGTAAAGGCTACCCTTGTAAGTCTCTGGAGGCCTCCTCTCAGTGGAGCTGCTCATGGGGGTTGCCCACGTGTTGGGCCCACGGCTCAGGAGAGTTGCAGGCCTTCAAAAGGGTGGTGGCCGGAACGAGGGGTGCTTTCAAGTATGGAGGTAACAGCCGGCCCTCCTGTTCAACTTGACTTACTTGCCAAGTGCCCATCCGTGTGGGGAGCACTTGGAGGCCCTGGACAGACAGCAGGCAAGGGGGCCCGAGCCTCGGGGCCCCGAGTGGCTGGAAAAGGACAGTTGGGCAGTGGTGGGGCCTCTCTCTGCCCTGGCTGCCCTCTCTGGCCCCCTCCAGCTTTGGGAGCTCGAGAGTTTTTCTTTGCATTTGTAGATTGCCCCAGGATACGCATCTCAGATGAAACTAAATTGTGCTTTTGGACTTGAATTCTTTTAAATGCTTTCTTAAGGCCTAGAGCCATAGAACTCTGACGGGTGTTTTAATCGCTCTTCTCCCCTTGAGTGTGCAGCAGCAGGCAGTAGACAGCGGTGCAGACAGACTCCTCCAGTTGCTGTCGGGTTTTGAGAGCTAGCTTTGAGTTTCCTGTTTTGCAGCTGAGTTTGCCACATACCTGAATTTCTGCCGTTCCTTGCGTTTTGACGACAAGCCTGACTACTCGTACCTGAGGCAGCTTTTCCGGAATCTGTTCCATCGCCAGGGCTTCTCCTACGACTATGTGTTCGACTGGAACATGCTGAAATTTGTAAGTGGCACTGCCAGCATGTTTGCTCCATGTGCTGTTCGGGGGCTGCCTCTTCAGCTAGAGGCCAGCAGCCTCTTGTTTAGGGGACTGTGCTGTATAGGGAGCGTCTGCCCTGCAGTGATGGGTGAGTGTGTTGTAGCGGGCAGGAATTTGACTGAGGGGGTGTCTGCTTATGGGAAAGGGGTGCCAAGTAGTAAGATGCCATCAGGGAAAGCAGAGGGTTCCGTGGAAGTCTTGGATGTGGACAGCAAGAGGCCCCCCTCTCCACTATCACCAAGCAGAGCTAGGGCTCAGAGCACGCCTCAGGGGAAGAGGGCGGGGGTTGGGAGTGCATCTTCCCAGTCACTGTGCCACATGGTCGTGGTGCCCACCAGATGGGTGGGGTTGGGGCCTGGTGAGGTGCAGCTGGTCCAGCCTGACCCTGTCATGAGCTGGTTTTGCTTGTGGCTTTCTGGTTGTGGGTGTGAGAATGCCCTGGAGCAGCCCAGCCCCGGGTCCCTTGTCTAAGCTTAATTACTATTTAGATGCCACTGCCAGAAATGAAGCTCCTGTGTAACTGTTGTGTTCTTTCATTAAAAACGGTTTAGTTATTAGTTTTGAGTAGAAGTTGGAGCCTTTGCAGGTGACAATCTAATGAAGGAGCAGAACTGCCTCTTGGGTGGATACAAAAACGGCTGCCTTGTCTGATGGTGGTGCAGGGGCCAGGGAGGGGTGAGGGGGCCCTGGACCCAGCCTCAGCACCTCCAGGTGCTGGGAGGGGTGGGCTCTGCAGGGCGGTTCAGTCCTCTGCCAGGGCTGTGCTGCCTTGGGAGGCGTCAGAGCCACCCTCCTGCTGCGTTGGAGTCACCTGGCCCTCAGAGCAGGCTGGGCTAGGGTTTTCCATAAACGTGTTGGGCTGTGTGTAGCCCAGTGGATGTGGCTGTGTCCAGTGAGCTTTATTTGCAGGAAAAGGTGGCAGCTGGGTTTGGGCCCGGGGCTATAGTTTGCAGGCCCCTGCTGCACAGCACTGGCAGTTAGAATCTGCTCTTTTGTAGGCTGCTGTCTGGGCTTAAAAGCTGACCTCCCCACCCCCAATGCATCTGGATAGTGCAGCACAGACCTGGCTGCCGGCCTCGCCTCCACACCTGTGCAGACTGTGGGGGGCCGCAGGGTCTGGACCCTGAGTGGACTCCTTATCTGACCAAACGTTCTCATCCCCGCCCCACTTTCCTCCCCAGCTGTCACCATTTGGGGCCTGTCTCTGGCCTCCAGTGGTTCCTGTTCCTCTCCTTTCCCTGCACGTGTCAGTGAGGATGTTCACAGAGGAGCAGGCGGCCCAGCTGCTGCCCATTTTGAAGTTTAAGGAAGTTCTGAGCCCCCAGGGAAGTGCCGTGGCGAGTGGGGTTTTTTCGATTGTTGGGGGAGCTTAGAGGCCTGGCTCTGACCCCTTTCTGGGATGGCGCTGGCATCCCATGGGGAGAAACGTTGTTGTGCAGCATGCGGGCGGCTTCGCAGCCGGTCTTGAGCCCCAGTGCCCTTTGGTAGGTATTTTCTCATGTGGCTGGGGCAGCTCAGGACCTGGGGTTGCTGTCTGCCAAATCCGGTTCCATGCCGGCCTCACCTCCTTCCTCCTCAGGGTGCCAGCCGGGCTGCCGACGACGCCGAGCGGGAGCGCAGGGACCGAGAGGAGCGGCTGAGACACTCGCGGAACCCGGCCACCCGCGGCCTCCCTTCCACAGCCTCTGGCCGCCTTCGGGGGACGCAGGAAGTGGCTCCCCCCACACCCCTCACCCCTACCTCACACACGGGTGAGTGCCCCCCTCCCAGCACTCTGGGACGGTTTCCTGTGTCTCAGGGTTGGTGGGGGCAGCGCACTCGGTGGTGGACACTGAATTTCCCGTGCCAGGTGATGCTTACTCTTGAGAGTGGATGAGCCGGGCTGCCTGGGCGCCTTTAGAAATGCGGGCACCTGCTGGTGTGTGAGATTCCTTCCGCATCCCATGTTCCTCCCGTGCAAGCCCCTCAGCCTCAGTCCCATTCCCCTGCGTGTTCCTCCGGCTGGATCTGAGTGTTGGTGGCCATTGGCTCTGCCGGCTCCTGACTGTCCAGGCAGCCCAGGGTCCTCTCCGGCCACAGCCTCTCACAGGAAGAAAGCCCTGAGTGGGAAGCAGCAAGCAGCCGGGGGCAGCCCACTCTGTTTCTCTTCCTCTCCCCAGCGAACACCTCCCCCCGGCCCGTCTCTGGCATGGAGAGAGAGCGGAAAGTGAGTATGCGGCTGCACCGCGGGGCGCCCGTCAACATCTCCTCCTCCGACCTCACGGGCCGACAAGATACCTCTCGCATGTCCACCTCACAGGTAGGTGCAGAGCTTCTGGGCGGGCACCGGCCTCGGCTGTGCCATCCAAGTCCAGAACAGGCTGTGGTTTCTGAAGGGCTTGTTTCCTTCCTCCTTTTCCCCCATTTTTGAGAGTTGTTAATCTTGCCGAGGCGTGGTGGCTGATGAGGCTTCTGAGGAGAGCCTGGGAGACAGGCTGGGCCATCACAGGGCTCGTCTTGTGGTCGCAGGCGGCCGGTCTCAGGTCTCAGGTCTCCGAGGCCAGCAGACCGTGGGGGCTTTCTCCTGCCATTTGAGTGCCCTGCTGCCCCCAGCCATCCCCACGCAGGCAGCACCACTCGCCTGTTCATGCCTCGTCCGGGGTGCGTTGCTGTGAGTGTCCCGGCCCACGGACCTTCCTCATTCTTGCTGCTGGCCAGGGTTGAAGGCCTGTAGGGACCTCCAGGGGCTCCCCATAAGACCCTCCCTGCTAGTGTGCCCTGCAGCGAGGCTTCCATTCTTTTGACGGCCTTGTTTGTCTTCCCTCGGACACGAAGCACCCCTGCTGCACAGCAAAGGCAGGCAGCCCAGCTCAGCCACAGGTGCCGCCTTGTCAGCACCCTTCTCCAGCCGCCTCTCCTCTCCTCGCTCTGGCTTGTTGTCTTTTGCGTTTGCTAACGTGCTCTTCGAACCAGAACAGCTTTCTACCTACGGATCCGTTGTGTTTCTTCAAAGTGTTCTGGGTTGTTCACCAACAGGGGCAGGGTTGCCCTGTCAGGACTGTGTTTCACCAGCAGGCACCCTGGGGGTACCAAGATCCCCCACGGGTCTTCTGGATGAGCAGGAACTCGGTTCAGAAACGCCCTCGAGTCTGGCTGTGGGCTTGTGGGGCGGCGTCTCTTGGGGTCACAGGATGGAGCCAGGCCCACTGTCGTGAGCGGGGCTGGGCACAGCTGGCTAGCCAGGAAAGCGCCGGTGTGGGGAGCACTCTTGGCCACTAGCTATCTTTTAGTAAGTGAGTTTAGGCCAGGCATGGTGGATCACGTCTGTAATCCCAGCACTTTGGGAGGCCGAGGCAGGTGGATCATAAGGTCAGGAGTTCAAGACCAGCCTGGCCAAGATGATGAATCCCCATCTTTACTGGGGGGGGGGGGCGGATTGAAAAATTAGCTGGGTGCGGTGGCAGGCACCTGTAATCCTAGCTTACTTGGGAGGCTGAGACTGGAGAATCACCTGAACCTGGGAATCGGAGGTTGTAGAGCTGAGATCGTGCCACTGCACTTCAGCCTGGCGGACAGAGTGAGATTCTGCCTCAAAAAAAAAAAAAAAAGAGTGAGTTATTGCACGTTTCTAATTCACTAGTAATTTAACTAGAAGTGGATTTCTTGTATGGTAACATTCTCTCGAAGAGACCAAAGATGCAGGGATTTTGACTTTGTGGTTATTTGCATTGGGCATGAGGGGTCTGGCCTGCGTCACGAGAGTGGGTCCCTTACATGCGCACAGTCCTGGTCTCACCTCCAGACACAGAAACGGTTTAACGGGTTTCTTCCCATGAGCCTGGCACTCACACCTCAATTCCTGGGAGCAGGTCCCAGGAGGGTCTGCCCGTGCCCACCTGTTTTCTTGACGCGTGGCGGTTCTGTAGCCCCTGAACCATGGAGCAGGAGCTAGGATTCGTCCTCACGCTGGGCGCTGACTGGACGTGGATGGCCTCATCCCAACGCTTGGCTGACAAAAGACTAGGGAAGGGGTCTGAGTGCTTTGTTTGTTTATTTTAAAGAAAACAAAGTCTCTAGTGGTTTGACATCTTTGAGGGCAGCGAAGGCAGCCTGGGCAGTCACAACCCTGAGTCTAGCTGCCTCTTCTCAGCACACGGCTCTGGCGGCACCTATGGCCATCAGCCACCAGCCCCCAATGTGGCCGTGAACAGTGCCTCCTTCCATGGTTTGCTATGGCAGGAACTCAAGGCTGGGCTCTTAGGCACTTGTTTTCACATGAGGAAATATGATGTGGGCTCTAACAACAGGGAGGAGTCTCCAGAGAGTTGGTTTTGGGGTATGTTCCCTCCAAAAGAAGCATCTTGGCCTCTGCCCCTGGCCACCCTGGGGGGCCTTCCTGAGAGGCATGTTGAGGGCTCCCCGCCTGCAAGGTGGGCCCCTTCCTTTGTCACCATCTCATGGGAAGGTTTCGACCGTGTCCTCTTCCTGCCGGACTCTGCCAGCACCAGCACGCACAGTGGCTGTCGTCGGCAGCCCCCATTGTGAATCCCGGAGCGGGGAAGACGGGAGGCTTGATTCCTCTGTGTGCCTCACCTGCTTGCTCGAGTGAGCTGGAGAGAGAGGCGCCGGGGGCAGTGACTCATCCCCGGCCAGTCTTCCTCCTTGGGCTGCTTCTCTTCCCAATTCTTTCTGCTGCTCTCAGGAGTCAGTGCACGCCGTGGAGATGGGAACAGGCGGCAGAAAGGTCTCCTGGGCCTTGCTGGCTCTGGCTGCGTCTGCATGAGGGCAGGACCATGTAGCAGCTCTGCGTGTGGGTCCCTGAGTCCCCCACAGCTGAAGGACCCTGTCCCAGCCCGGCCTTCGCATGGGTCTGCTCTCTCTTCGCCCCCTCTCTTCTCGGGCTGCTGGTGTTCGGCCGGGTCTCTTTGGCCACGGTAGCCTTTGCCCTAAAGGCCATCTAGTTGCTGAGTCTGTTTGGGGTTTTTACTTGGTGAGAAGGCGGTTCCATCCGTCCGGCGGTTGATGAGTCGCTTTGATCAGCCCCTGCTCAGAACTAGACCTGAACCCCGTTATCGTGCCGGCGAGGATGTGCGTCTCTTCCCTGCCTGCAGGCTGTGCCCTGAGACCCAGTTGGGCTGCTCAGGACCTGCCATCCTGCAGGGCATCAGGTTCTCTTAGTGCTTGAGAAGAGTCAAGAGGGCCTGCCCCTCACCCTCATTGGCCTTAAGAGAAAGTGATTCCAGAAGAGGAGTGGCCGCCGTTCTCATCCAGAGGCCAGTCCTGAGAGGCAAGTGAGGCTGCGGGCCATGCCTGGGCTCCCCTAGCCGGCACCTGTCGGAGGTCTGTGGGCCTGGCTGAGGCGAGAACGCCTGTCTGGACACAGGGCCAACACAGGTAGTCAGGGGGCCGGCGGGACGCTTACCAACAGCTGTCTTTTCCCCACCTCAGAATAGCATTCCTTTCGAACACCACGGCAAGTAGCTGCTCGTCTCCCATCGGAAGGCAGCACTGGGTGAGTGTGCGTGTGGCGGGCGCCAGGCAGCAGCGCCGGGTGGGTGGGAGCCACCATGCCCCGCCTGCCTGCCCGTGGGAGCTTGCAGGTGGGCTGGGTTTGCATGCCAGGTGCTGGAGGTAGAGTGAGGCTTCTTCTGCTGTTATTCTTGTGTGGTGCAGAGCGGCTGCAGTCCGCTGCCCAGTCTTGGGGGGAGGCTGTCCACAGAGACTCTTGGAACAGAGTAACCTCAGGAGACCGTCCTGTTGGCCTGTGGCCTCCCTGTGACTGCGTTCAGTGCGCCGCCACTCCCCTCCTGTCCTGGGTGCCCGCCCATGGGGCAGGAGCGGCAAGGCGGGTGCCCCAAGTACTTGAGGTGCCTTGTCTGGGGTCGGCCGTGCCTGGAGGGGCGTCTGTGTCCTGCTCAGCTGAGTGGCTCCACGCTTGGTGTTGGGGGCTCCTAAGCTCTTGCTGCGCCACACTCCTGGTGGTCTCTGCCATGCCGGCTTTTCTAGTCACCCCTCTCTTCCTGTCTCATCTATCTCTGTTCTTGTTTTGTGTTTCTTTTCACACCTGGTCTCCGCCCAGCCGTCTTGTCCACGCAGCTTCGTCTGTATTAACTCCTCCTGCCGCAGCTCTCTCACTCCCTGCCGTCGGTGCATGGCCGACGTCCTCGCTGCGCTCCCTCCTCGGCGGCCACATGCTCGGCGGCTCCTCCAGCAGGGGCTTGCGCTTGTGTCGGGTTCGTGCCGCTGGCAGGCCCGCTGCAGTTTTCACACTGTGCACACTCAGAAAATGTGTTGACAGGAACTGCTTTTCACGTCTTCCCTGAGCAGGGGTCTTTGTTTTCAAACACCAGTTTCCTTTCCAGGAAGGGAGGCCGGAGCGCCTGTCTCCGCTCCCCTTGGATCCTCCCACCCTGCCGAGCTCGGCTCTGCGGGCACCTTGCTTGCATGCCTCTTCCTCCTTCCTGTCTTCCTGTCATTGGTTCTGCTGAGCACGTGTTCCAGCCACAGAGGCCCCTGTGTGTGGCTGGTGGCGCAGGCGTCAAGACTGGGGCTAGGCGGTGGCGGTGCGTCCCCTCCCTGCCCAGCGCCGTCACTGTGGTATCTGTGCCCGAGTGCCTGGCCGGCTCCCCCGGCCCCATGCTGACCTTCTCCTGTGCTTTGGCTCCGACAGATTCCTGGTCGGGTGGCTTCCAGTGGTCTTCAGTCTGTCGTGCACCGATGAGAACTCTCCTTATTGCTGTGAAGGGCAGACAATGCATGGCTGATCTACTCTGTTACCAATGGCTTTACTAGTGACGCGTCCCCCGGTCTAGGACCGAAATGTTAACACCGGGAGCTCTCCAGGCCACTCACCCAGCGACGCTCATGGGGGAAACAAACTAAACGGACAGACTCCGAGAGCTGCCACCGCTGGGGCTGCACTGCAGCCCCCCCACGTGAACTCGGTTGCAAAGGGGCTGGGAAGAAAAGCAGAGAGAATTGCAGAGAATCAGACTCCCTTTCCAGGGCCTTTCAGCTCCCTCCAGTGGTGGCCGCCCTGTACCCCCCGACGATTCCACTGTAACTACCAATCTTCTACTTGGTTAAGACAGTTTTGTATCATTTTGCTAAAAATTATTGGCTTAAATCTGTGTAAAGAAATCTGTCTTTTTATTGTTTCTTTCTTGTCTGTTTTTGCGGTCTTACAAAAAGATGTTGACTCTAGGGAATCCTGAGACAGACGCTGGCTTGGAGTTTGTGTAGGAAGTGGAGTCAGGCAGGGAGAGGGTGCAGGCGGATCTCAAGGGTGTGTGTTGTGTTTGTTTTGCAGTGTTTTTGTTGTCCACTTTGGAGAGGAGATTTCTCATCAGAAGTCTGTGGTGTGTGTGTGCATGGATGTGGTGGGACCTCTTTTACCTGGTTTTGGGGTCTCACCCTCCCTCCTCCTATAACTGAAATGAAATGCCTGGCGTCAGGAACTCTTGAGGCCCTCAGAGAGCAGTTAGGGCCTGCAGGCTGCCTCGGAGCAGGGGTGCGGTGGGTGTTACCAGGCAAAGCAATGCCTCTTCTTCCCCGGGAAGTGGGCAGGCAGCTGGAACTCTGAAGAACTTGGAAGCAGAGGCTTTGAGACCCTAGCAGGATTAGTTGGGAGTCCCAGGATTAAAGGTGGAAGATGTGTTTCTGGTCCCTTGGGAGCGGATTGTTAACCGAGAGGCGCGTGTGGTTATTTTGGTGTTTGTTGCCTTGCTGCCTTTGCACTTGATAAGTTTTCTTAACAGACTGTAAATGCTCCCGTGCCGATTGGCACCCAATCTGTGTGTGTGCCTGTGCTCAAAACCAGCAGCGGGGCTGCCCTCGCCAGGTGCCAAGACTAGCTCAGAAAAGCCGGCGGGCCGAAGGGACTCGCCCTGAGGTGCCAAGGAGCAGGTGACTCTCCCAACCCGACCCAAAACCTCCGCGTTGGGGAAGTAGGGTCTGCGCTCTTCAACCTTATGTTGGGCGCGTGTCCGTAGGAAGCGAAGCAGCGTCGTGGGGCTGAGTCCCATCAGAAGGCAGGCGACCTCCGTGAGCTGGTGCTGCACCGGGCTCACGCTGCTGTGCTCTGTGGTTCCCGGGATGCCTTCTCACCTCTCATTCCGTAGCAGTCGGGTGGTAGCCAGTGGCCGTGCACTCCTGATCCAGACACGCAGTGCAGTGTGTGTTCGCAGGCACTCCTCCATCGCCCTGTCATAGAGGACATTCCCTTTGGACTCGGGGGCCCCGAAGGTGTGCAGCTTGGTTCTTCCCTCCCTTCCCCAGAGTTCCCCGGATGCCGTAACTGGTAGGCATCCCGTAACACAGTTGTGCACTGTCCCAGCCGGCTGGCCGTCTTGTCTGAGCCCGTGGGTGCTTTCTGAATCCTAAGCTGGTTACCTTGTAAGCATTTTGGAGTGCAGGGCCTTGAGCAGGTGGGGGCTGTGTGTCTGGAAGTACAGAGGGAGGTTGGGGTGGGTCAGAGCCGAGTTAGAGATTTTCTTTGTTGCTTGATGCCTTCCTGAGGGTAGCTGTCTCCCACCCAGCAAGGCGTTGCGGCTGTGGCCTGAAGTGGCGCAAGCTTGCTTTGTAAATATCCGTGGTCCTGATGTAGTGCCAGAACATTTGTGCAAGGCAGCTCTGTGCCCGGGCTCCAGCCTGAACCTTGCTGGGTTGTGTCCTTGGAGCGTGGTAGTGACAGTCCGTGCCCAGTATCTAGTCCCCATCGTCCCGTGCAGGAAACGTAGGTAGGACGTCCGTGTCGACCTGTGCTCTGGCGACCAGTCTCCAAGCTGTGCGTTTGTATGGCCACTGTATTTGTGTACTTTAACAACTGTGTAAATAATAAATTCATAATGACTTCTACCTTTCTTCCCTGCCCTTTCCATGTGGTCTTTTATTTCATCGGCTTGAGATTTTTCCATGTGTTGAGGTAAACCATGTGAAAATCCTCTTTTGAGACAGCTGTTTGTTCTTTCTCATCCTGTTGGTCTGGGAGAGCTGCACGCTGGGCCTCCTGCTGGGCAGGGAGGGGTGGCAGCTGCTCCTCCCCGTGCCCCCCGCTCAGGCTCCGGCACGCACACAGAAGCCCACGCAAGTTCTGTGTGGTGGTTCTGGAGAGCCTCTGACCTCCACTGCCCTCAGCCACCTGCGGTGAGCGCCTGTCTGCTCCTGTCGCCAGAGAGCCACGCTGCTCCGTGAAGCCTGGGAGCTGCCCCTGATGGCCCTGCACAGACACGAAGATGCAGTTCCGTGCAGTTCCTCTCCGCCCTGCCTCCCCAGGATCTCACAGCAGTGGACCCCTTCTGAGGGGCTCAGGCTGCCGGAGCAGGGAGGTCTGCACCGATGGGTCACCACCAACTCTGTGTGGGTGAGCTCAGCTGGGCTAGGCCACCTCCCCTCCCAGCTCCTCCCGCCACCTCCAGCCCACACTCTCCATTCACCACTCCAGGCCACTCCCTTGTTCCCTTGGTCACAGCCATGCCGGCAGGCTGCGCTGTCCGAGATGAGAATATGCCTGTTTGTAGTCAAAGTGCAACAAGGACTTGAGGCAGCTTGCTTGGAGGTTGCTGGAACTAAGAATAGTGTCGCTTTCTGAGCCCCCCGTGGGTATGTGCTGAGGGGATTCCAGGGCTGTCCCGCCGACTCTGCCTGTGACATGCTCCTGCCCCAACCCGGGGGGTACCCCTGGCCTGGAGCTCTGCCAGCCCCTCCTGCCCTGACTTTGCCTCCCCCCGGGCCCTTCCTCTTGGCCATTCTGACAGTACCCTGGACATCCTGAGCTGGCTTCCCAGCCTTCCTGTCTCCAGGCTACCTCACATGGTTCCCTCTTGCTGGCGCAGACTGAGATGCCATGTGGGGCCTCACTGTGGCCATGGGTGAGGCTCAGCCCCCACCCCACTCAGTGCCATACCAGCCCCAACCAGAAAATGGCAAGACCCGTGTTCCAGCTCCTGCCTGACCTTCCCAGACCCACCGCCTCCCCCCTGGGTTTCCCTGCCCTGAGAGGGAGTAGGGGCTGCTCGTCTGCCAGGCGTGCTGGGTGGCGGCTCTGCAGCGCATCTCTCACCTGCGAGGGCCAGTGCGCACGGGTTAGAGGGTCTGTTCTCTGAACCTGAGTCTGGCTGGGTCTGTGTCCTCAGACATGGTTTAGACACTGAGAAAAGCAGGCCCTTCAGGTGCTAGGCAGCGCCTCCCCGGAGCTTCAGCACAGACCCCTCAGAAGGCAGAGGATGGCACCATCTGGGGCCACTAGGCCCTTTTGGGGTCTCCTGTGCCCCTGTCCCCTCCCCAGCAGGGGCCCTGTACACATCTGTTCCAGGGCTGTTCTCAGGGAAGGCCCAGCCAGGCGGGCACCTCTCTTCCTCCCACTGATCTGGGGTCACATGACGATGTCTGTGCCCCCCCATCCCCCACTCCACGTACCAGTGGGTTCTGGATGGATGTGTGTCTGGTCAGGGTGTCTTCATAGCACATTAGACCTGGGCCACTTTTGGCACCAGAATCTGTCCCCAGGGTTGGGGGTAGCTGTGCCCCCAGCTTCCTCCAGTGGGCTACAGGCCTCCCTCCCCCTCGATCCCACCTGCCGGGTCAGACCAGACTGACTGCCCAGCGGCTTCTCTCCCATAAAAGCACCAGCCGAAGGAGGTGGCAGAACTCGCACCCACTCATGCCCACCCTACAGTGCAGGGACCCCAGCCGAGCATGGTGACCTTTCCACATCTGGACCACTCCTGAATCACTGAGCAGTGTCCCTCAGGCACGTCTCTCCGGCAGCAGCCCTGCTGGGGCTCTGCTGTGTGCTCTGGGTGTGGGGACCAGAGTGAGGCACATCAGGGGTGAGAGTTGAAATGGAGGGCCCACATCCTGCCTAGGGGAGGGTGAGGGCCCGAGATATCTGGACACAGAGGGTCCCAGGAACGGGCACCTCCTACCTGGCCCACGATCTCCCTGCCAGTTCCTTCGTAAGCCCAGGTCACACTCACAAGGCCAGCAGAACCAGGGACAGCCAGGTCCAGAGCGGGTACCCCCTTGGTCTGAGCAGCCTCCCTGGGGCTCTGACGTGGGAGGGCCGGCCAAGGAAGGCCATGTGTCCTCTGAGACCCAGGCTGCCTGCTCCCACCACCTCCTGCTCCCTTCAGCTTCTGGGTGGGGCTGGTGGACTCCAGACACATGGCCCTGGCTGTGCAGCGCTCCACCTTGATCCCTGCAGCTGCCAGCACTGCCTGAGCCCTGGTGGAGGCCTCCACAGCCCTGAGGCTACAGAGTTCCAGGGAACTCTGGGGAAGGGAGAGTTCAAGCCCAGCTGGGGCAAGGCCCGGGGCAGATGGGGGCAGCTGGGGCTGAGATGTGCACTTTCGCTTGCTTTTCATTGCAGAGGAGCAGGGATGTGGCGTCTCTCCGGCTGCACGCGGCCCGCCAGGGCACCCGCTGCCGTCCCCAGCGCCCGCGACGCACCTACTGAGGGCCCCGGCGGCCTCTGACCGGGCTCCCAGCCACGCAGGCCACTGCTGGCCACGAGGGCAGGTGGGTGTTAGGTGCTCAGGATAAGCACAAGTGCTGGGCCGGGCTGAATGGAGGATGGGGCACAAAGAGCGGCCTTGGCCACTGGGCACACTTCACTCAGCCAGGGGATGAGAAAGGGACGGCAGGAGAGTCCCGGTTCTACACACCAGTGAACAAAGTGGCCTGTTCCACCCCAGCTCCCATCTAAATACCACTTATGGGCTCCCTGGCACGTTTCAGAGACCCCCCTGGCACAGAAGCCTCCAGGCACCTGCCCTGCATCCCTCTCCACACAGTGCCTGCCCCACCACGAACACTCTGCCACTGCAGGGAAAGCTGGCGAGGACAGAGCCACTGCAGGAACCAGGCCATCAGCAGACCCGAGATTCGGGGCGCAGTCAGGCCACACAGCAAAACCACACACTCCCAGAAGACCATCCTGACACTCCACCCACACACAGGTTTATTTCCACCTTCCAGGGGTGGCAGAAGCCATCCCCAAAGACACCGAGGGGTGGGTGCAGGCCGCACGTAAGAACCCAGGGTAGGATGGGCTGGAGAGGGCCCCACACAGCACCTGCCCCACCAGCCTGTCCGCAGCCCACCCTTGGACTAAAGTCATCTCATCTTGCGGCATGGGTTTCTAGGTCCTTGAGCACAATAGTGGCCGCAGGCCATTTGGGACCAGCAGGCGGGGCCCCTGTTGTGGATGCCTTGTAACCTCGAGGCTTGGCTTCACCGCAGATCCACTCTGGAATGACACAGTTCCTGCCCCGCCACCTCCCCCTGCAAAACACTGATCAGGCGACGATCTGCTAAGCTGGCAGCCAGAGCCCAGCGTGGCCCTGCCCGAGCCAGTCCTGTTTGTAAAATAAATAGCAAGCGTTGCCAGCCTCGGTACCTCCTCCCTGTGCTTGCCGGCCCCTCCCAGCCACTCAGACACTGGTTTCTGGGGTGTGAACCACCTCCCCGTTTTTCTCAGGCTCAGCCTTCAGAAAATGTTCCACTTCCCTGGAGTCCACCCCCGCATGTGCGGGGGGCTTGTGGAGATTCTCCTCCTCCACGGCCGCTGCCTCAGGCTGTGGCTCCTTGGGCCTCTTCCTGATGCAGAAGAAGTTGCCCAGCAGCAAAATCAGGGAGGAGGTGACCACCTCGGCCCCCGCCAGGAGGAACACGTACTTGTAGACGTGGGTCGCGTCCAGGAGCTTGCCTGCAGGAAGACCCGGTCAGTCCCAGCCACTCTTGTGCAGGTGCAGCTGTCCCCGGGTGCCCAGGGCCCCACCCAAGCTGATGTCTCCTCGGTGTCTGTAGCACACAGGGGCCACCCTGTGTTTCTCCCAGCTCCTGGAACCAGGAAGTGTTCTCTTCCCTCCATGTTCTAGCTGGGGGCATCCTCAGCCTCCCTCCCTCCTCCCCAGGGAAGCCAAGACTTAGAGGCTAAAAACAGCAGTGGCTTTGAGGGGAGTTTGGGCCTTGGACTCCTTGGTGGGAGTCACGCTGGTCCCCAGATCCCCCCGACGCTTCCAGCTGGCAGCCCCAGAAGCCCTGCTGCGTTCAGCACCGGCCCTGTTTCCCGGCTACCTCGGACCCCAGGAGTCAGGTGGTGAGGCTTTGGCCCCCCCCCCCAAGCCCAGGACCCTCCCTTGCCAGGCAACCAGAGCCTGGGTGAGGGTGCTCCAGTCAGAACTCAGTTCCCTCAAGTGCTAGCTCAGCTAGCCTTCAAAAAGGAAAGGCCCCAAAATGCAAAAACTGGCTGTGGGTTGCCCGAAACTGCTGCCGAGACACCATCTTTGGGGCTCTACCCCCACCCCCTTTCCTTGGATTCCTCCTGCAAGCCTGTCCGCAGCCCTCTAACCTGGTGGGTCCCACATGGACAGCCTGCCTTTGCCTCTGATGCTGACCCATAACTAGAGGCCGGACCCTCTGCAGACAAGAGCCTGGAGGAGCTGCTCCGTCCAGCCCCTGGTCGCCCTGTCTGCGGGGGGCACGCTGTGCCGGGCTGAGCCCCTAACTCCTAATGGAGACCTGCTGGCCCCGGCAGGATCAGGCTTGGCCCAACACAGTGCACCCCCCTCCAGCTCTGAGTCCCACAGTGGGTGGCTGCCGAGGGGTGCGCATCCCTGCCTTGCAAAGCGGGCATCTGACCGGAAGGCAGGCGTGGGGAACTGCCTGAGGGCCCAGCGCTCACCTCCAGACGGGGGGCCGATGAGCACGGCCACCGCCTCCATCAGCAGCACCAGGCCAATGGCGCTGGAAAACTTGTGGGTGCCCACAATGGCCATGAGCACCTCGAACTGCAGGGCCCCCACCATGCCGTAAGAGATGCCGAAGAAGATGCAGAAGACCACCAGGCCACCATAGTCACCCGCCGTGGAGCCCGCCAGGTCCGCAAGGCCGTTGAAGAACATGGAGAAGCTGAAGAGGTAGACGGAGTAGGGCCGCACCTTCCCGAGCCCCGCCACAAAGCCCGCCGCCGGCCGCGCGAAGATGTCGATGAAGCCCAGGATGGTGAGCAGGAAGGCCGCCTTGGTGTCGGGCACACCCAGGTCCTTGGCGTAGCTCACCACAAACACGGGCGGCACGAAGAGCCCCAGCACCATGACTGAGGCAGCCACGGCGTACAGCACAAAGCCTCGGTCCCGGAAGACGCTCAGGTCCAGCAGGTGCCGGGAGGGTCGCTGCGGCCCCGAGCCCCCACCCGGCTGGGCCACGGCCACCAGGGGCCTCATGAGTGCGGCACACACGCAGCAGTTGAGCAGCAGGCCTCCCAGGATGAGGAAGCCGCCCCGCCAGCCATAGTGGTCCTGCAGCAGCTGCCCCAGCGGGCTCAGGGCGCACAGGAAGACGGGGCTGCCTGCCGCCGCCAGCCCGTTAGCCATGGGGCGCCGCTTGCTGAAGTAGCGGTTCAGCATGATGAGCGAGGGCTGGAAGTTGAGCGCCAAACCCAACCCTGGAGGAAAGGGAATGGGGTGAGAGCCCCCCCAGGGCCAAGACCCTCGTCTCTGCCCCCAGGGCTCCCAGTGCGCAGAGGCCCTGCCACCCACACACTCAAGAAGGGGACAGTGAGGTGAAGCCAGACGCCCCGCAGCCACCTGCCCTGCTGTCCTCCAGAGACCAGGACAAGCAGCACAAGGGCACAGCCCCGCCCCCTCCTGGCACCTGCGGCCCCACTCACCAGTGATGACCCCAGTGGTGAGGTAGACCTGGATGATGCTCCTGCAGAAGGACGCAGCCACCATGCCCAGGGACGCGAAGAGGCCCCCCACAAGCATGACGGGCCGGCAGCCAAAGCGGTTCACACACACGCTGCAGAGCGGGCCTGCGGAGGGCGGCAGCTGAGGGGGCGGGCCCAGGCCTGCAGCTGGCCTCCCCTGCCCACACCACCCCTCCCTCGGCGGGATGCTAGGGGCACCCTGTGGCTGGCTCCCCAAGCACAGAGCTAATAACACGAGCGCTGCCCGCTGGGCCGCACTGGTCCTGCAGTCAGGAACAGACATCTTTTCAAGAACGGCTGTTGGAGCCCTGTCCTCTTGGACTGTCTATAAATACAGCCAACACGTTTGGACGGGGGCCAGGATGGACTTCACCCTGCCGCTGCCCAGCAGGATCCCAGCCCCAAGGGCTTCCCTCCAGGGTTCCCTGGGGAGCGGGTGGAAGGCGCTGTGCCAAGCCCAGCCACACATGGACTCCTGTGCCTGGCAGGATCTGCCAGCAGAGCCCCAGATGGGGGGGGGTCTGGTGTGAGGCTGCCCTCACCTGTCCCGTAGAGCATGGCCAGCAGGATGGAGGAGATCCAGGCTGTGTCGCTGTAGCCGATCCCAAACTCCTGCATTAGCCCCTTGAAGAAGACACTGACGGCCTTGGGGAAGGCGTAGGAGAAGCCGGTGATGACAAAGCAGCCGAAGAGCACGGCCCAGCCCCAGCCGCCGTCGGGGGCCTTGACGCCCGTCGGGCCGTCGTCCACCACAGCCCCTCCCATGGCCAGGAGGGCTGGTTCCGCCTCACCTGAGAGAGAAAGCAGGCTGACTCAGGCTGCCCGGGTTACTACCCCCAACTGCAGCCCGGCAGGGGAGGGACACGAGCGGGGTGCCACACACACCTGGGGCTGGCACCTGGGCCAGACGCCCCAGGAGCTCAGCCGGGGGGCAGCTGCCCAGCACCCACACTAGTGGCCCCCTGACGCTGCTTGATGCAGGCAGGAGGGTTTGCAGGGAGGCCAGCAATTGGGGGTCCCAGTCCACCCACCTCCCTCCGCACTGCCTCCTGCACCCACACAGCTGGCTCTAAAGGGCAGTGGCTTTTTTGGGCTCAGCCAGGACTCAGATTACCTCCCGGGGTGAGCAGCCCCCGGCAGGAACGTGGGTCTGGCCGTCATTTCTGCCCTGGCCCGTTCTCCTGGCTGACCTGTGCTGAGCAGGGGCCTCGCACACTGTGATTCTGGCAGCAGCCTGCACCTTCAGTCCCCAGCACCAAGCTTGCCCTGGGGCCTCTGGAGGTGGTGTCCTCTAGGCCTCTCCCTGTCTAAATCTAGGTGGAATGTGCCTTGCCCTGGCTCTTCTGCCCCCGAGGGCCCGCTTTGGCTTCCGTGGAGCCCGCCAGGAGCCTGCAGCAAGAGGAGGGACAGTTGCTGGCTGGGAGAGCCTGGGCGCCTGGCTGGAGGGGACAGTTAGCAGCACAGGGGCTGCAGTATTAGAGGTGGGGTGGGGAAGTGGGGCAGAGCCGGCCTCGTGTCCCTGGAGGCCCCCTTGCCTCCCACCGGCGTGCTTGCTCAGTGACTTCCAGTGGGAAGAGGCTCACTCCACCTCTGCCTGGAGTGACCCACAGGCTGCAGCTTGAACTCAGGAATGTCTGGAGCCTCCATGGGAGGCGGGGGCCAGGGAGGCTTCCATCCATCCCACCAGAGCAAACCACAGCAGCCCCCATGTCTGAAGCTGGCATCCCTTTTGTAAACTCCAGGAGCTTAGCGCGTGTGGGGGAGAGTGAAGTTGGAAGCCAGGGCCAGACTTCCATCTTCATGCGCCGCCCTACCAAGAAGTCACCTGTCTCCCTCCTCACCAAGGACTGCAACCCAAGGCCTTGAGTGGTCTAGTCCAGCCAGCTTGGCTTCTCCCTCCTGGGGCCATACTGTGAACCAGCGCCCCAGGAGGCAGCAGCAGGCCTGCGGGGCAAGCTCCACGACCACCCGAGACACAATCTGTGGGGCTCCACCACCACCCCCTTTCCTTGGATTCCTCCTGCAAGCGTGTCCACAGCTCCCTAACCTGGTGGGTCCCACCTGGACAGCCTGCCTTTGTCTCTAACGCCGACACATAACTAGAGGCCGGACCTGCACAAGGGCAAGGACCTTTGCTGGGTGAGTTTCAGTTCTGTGCCTGCTCCTCCTCCTCTGGGCCCTCCCCGAATCCAGCCTGCTGGACCGGCCCCACCACAGGTGCTGTGCCCCTTGGAGTCCCTGCTTCAGAGGTCTGAGGATGGTCTTTAAGGGCTCCCCAAGTGTTCCACGCAGTCACTGTCACTGGGAAATGCCGCTTGATGAGGGGAGCCAGCTGTGGCTGCATGATCACATGCTGCCCACTGGAACGGAACAGGCCCTCCCCAGAGGCCCACCCCCAGAGCCCCACCCCCAGAGCCTGCGCTGGCTCCCTGGGGCCAAGGCCTTGGGACCATTTCTGGGAAACCCAGGAGCACCTTTTGCCTCTGCCTGCACCAGGGCACCGGATGCCCCACCACAGTGCCTGAGACAGGACACTGCCTGGGGTCCCTCAGCAGCAGGCTAGGTCCTGCTCATACCGGCATCAAGTTTAAAAGTTCCCTAAGATGACACTACATAGCAGGGTAACTACAAGATGCTAAAAATACATGCACTTGAGGAATGAAACAGGAACAGGATGCAGAATGCGGGCCATGGGGAGACAGGAGGGATTGACGGCCTCAGGTCCCAGCTTGTTTGGGATTGTGGGTTTACACTTTTTAAAATACATCAAATGGACCATGCAAGGCCAAGGAAGGAAATGTATATACAACAAATAGAAACAGATTCCGCATACCCCAGGTCCCCTCCAAAAACAAGCACCAGGGTCTCTGAGTCTACCTGGGCTGTACCAGCGGGGGCAGGGAACGCAGGCAAACCCAGCATTTGATGCCCGCCAGCGTCCTCAGGAGACAGACGAGGGCGCATGGGGAGGCAGGGGATGACGGCCGCCCTCAGGATATGTGGTGCCCCCTGGACTAGGGTCAAGGAGGGCTGGCAGACGGTTGGGGCAGTGCCAGGGCTCACTGGCCAGGAGAGCACAGCATGTTCTGGGACCTGAGGAGCTTGTGGCTTCCACGTGATGCTCACGTGGGGAGGGCCATCTTCTGTGTCAAGGAGATGAGGCATTTGGACAAGAAGCTTCCACACCACAGCCTGGCACTGTCATCTGTCCTCACCCAGGCTGGGGTGCCAGTCACCCAGACTGAAATGGCTCCATGAGTTCCGACTCCAGCCTGTTGTCCAGGGGCTGACTTTGAGCCGGCTGTGCCCACACAGCTTGGGGCAGGGGATTCCACAGGAGATGCAGTAGGGGAAGGGGCACGAAATGACAGTCCACAGTCTCTGTCTCCCAGGATAACCCCAGCATCACGATGGACTGAGGTGCAGGCTGGCTGAGGTTCCAAGGACAGCCCTGGGGCTGCACTGCCTGGAGCCACACCACAGCCACCAAGCATTGGCTTCTCCGTGGGCACACACTACAGGCTGGCCTTCCCCTGACATTTACTGTCACCCCCCCCCCCACCGCGCTCCCAGGAAGCATGCCAACCCACCCAGAAATAACCTGGCCCCTGGGCTGAGAAAGCTGATCTCCCAGGTGGGGTTGCCTGGAGAGCTGGTCCCCAAAGGCCCCACAACTCCGGGCTGCTAAAGCTGAGCAGGGAGGTCTGGGGCAGGGGTGCGTGGGGAGGACCCTTCCAGGAGACCCCCACATCCCAGAGCCATGTGCCCTCATGATTCCAGCCCTCATGATTCCTCATGAGCAAGCAGTTCCCTCAAGGGTCCAGGACTCAGCCATGAAGCCCTCAGGACCTGGGCGCCTGCCAGGTTGGACCCCTGCACTGCCCGGTCACCAGCCTGGAAGGCTTGGAAGACCATGCCAGGTCCTGCAGGGTCTATGGCAACACACATACAGAAAGGGTCTCGAACCTGAGCCCAGCTGCCCAGCTGGCTCCTCCAGGCCTCTCCAGAAACCCCACTCACCTCCTTGGGAGCACTGGGCACCCTGGACCTGCAGACCCCTCCCCCGCTTAGGTCCTCAGGTCGAGCAGCACCACCACCTCGCTGAGGCCTCCGCTGGACTGTCAGCCCGTTGTCTGGGTCTGTACAGTGGCCTGAGCCCCTGGGCAGTGGCCTGTTACCTAACTGACTCCAGCCTTTGAAGGATGGGCCTTGGCCCTGCCTTTGTGGCCCAGGCAGGAGGCGGGGCAGGAATAGGGCAATTTCTTTCCTTCCTGGATCCCTGGGAGCTGCCCAGGACCAAGGAAGCAGCCCCCTCCCCCACCCTTTGGTTAGCTTGGGGTTGGCAAGGGGTTCCAGGAGGGCAGGAGGGCGCTGCACCCAGGGAGGGGCCTCCCTGAGTTGTTCTTCCCCTTGTGCAAACCAGGAAGGAGCACCAGCCCCTCCCTGCAGCTCAGGCCCAGCCATCTGCAAAGGTGTTGGGGGCCGGGGTGTCAGGGAGTGGACGCTGGACAAGGGGCTGCCCAGGCCTGAGCCCTGTACCCCGTCTCAGACTCGCGCGCATGCCTGTGCCGACACCGTGTCCACTCACATCATCACGGCAGGGCCCGGTGGGGCAGACACACAGGCCTCATTTGCAGATTGGCCACTTCCACCCAGGACCAGGAGCCCCCCAACTGGTGCCCCAAGGGTTGCTGGGCACAAGTCCCACGTGGAAAATGGAGGCTGCCTGCGCCACAGCAGGCTTCATCCCTGAGCTGCCACTGCGGGGTCTCAGAGCTTGGAACCCGCTTCTCTGCAAGCTGAGGTCACCGCCCTGGGGCCGGGAGGCGGTGGGAGCCAGAGCTGGTCCAGAGCCGCCGTCCCCCACGTCGGAGGCCTCATGGACCCCTCAAGGCCGCCCCTCCGCGAAGCCACGTCGTCCTATTCCTGGACTCCCGTGCACCCCTCCACCCTAAAGCCGGTGTCCGGAAGCCCAGCCCGGAGGGGAACTCGGGTCAGGAGGCTCCCCCGCCATGGCCTCCCAGCAGGCGTCGTGGGGACCCGTGGGGAGGGGGGACGCGGAGGAGGCAGGGGGGCGGGGGCGGAGGGGGAGCCCAGAGCTCCACCCTTGCTAGGAAAGGCCCCTCCTCGGTGCGCCCCTGACCGGGCTGGACGATTGCCTGACGGCTCTGGCTTCCGGGCTCGGCGGGCAGGGGTCGGCGCTTGTGGGGGAGGCTGGGCGGAGCCCACCGGGGAAGGAGAAGGGGGGCAGGAGGATGCTCCGCCCGGACCCGCCCCGCCGGCCGCGGGACGTGGGGGACGTGACCGCGCCATAGGAGGAGCCGCCGTATTGCCCGCAGTAGGCGCCCTGCCGGACGCTACCGTAATTGCGGGCGCGCGGGTCCACCCGGGTCAGCGGAGCCTGGGAGCCGCGCCAGGCGTCGGGCCGCGAAGCCCCAGGGCGGGGCCGGCTCCACTTGCTGCAGAGGTGGGACGAGTGGGCGCGGCTCGGGGACTTTGACTCGTGAATTCCGAGTCTCGGGGCCCGGCCCTTCTGTGCGTGCGGCTGCCCGGAGCGGCCCATTTCACAGATGGGGCTGACTCGGGCAGGAGAAGCCGTGAGGACGCCCCGAGCCCTGTCTACTCCCGCCCCGCCCCTGCGCCAGGGCCTGGGCACCTCCAATGGCTCTGCGCCACTGCCGAGAAGGCCCCCCGCTGGGGCCCAGAGTGTAGACCACATTTGGCTCTTCACTCGAGGGAGTGGCACTGGCCTTTCCGCCCCATGTGGCCAGGTCACCCCAGGACCCACCACTAAGCCAGCCCTCAAAGTCACTGGGGACACATGGCTTTCTGGGTGGCCTGGATGGCAGGCCCTGCCCAAGGTCACATGGGGTCGTTACCAAGCTTGTCTTGGGACCAGGCCTCTAGATTCCTACTCCAAGCCCTGTCCACACCACGGAGTCCAGGGGAAAGACCCTGCACCTGCCAAGACAGTGTTCCTATGTACTCAGAGCCTCGCTGGGGGCAGAAACCCCCCATGGCGTCCTAGCACCCCTCTGCCAGTTCCTGCCCGCCATGAGGGAGCGCAGCCGAGCCGCCATCCCACGCTGGGGGAGCTGTTCCTGTCCCTCTCAGCACGTTCAGGCCGACACCCACCTGACTTCCCAGGCCTGTGCAGTGAAGCTGGGACCCTGGGCTCCCCAGCCCCAAAAGACACAAGACCACCCACCCTCGTGCTCAGTGTAGAGAAGACCCTGGGCCCTGAGGTGGGGCCAACTGGCATTTCCCCCACTCAGCAGGCCTGACTCTGGCCAGGAGAGGGACCCTTTCAGCCCAGGCTTCCTGGCCACGCAGCTCGGTGCCTCTAGGACAGAGAGGAGGACGGCGGCCCGACGCTGCCCCGTCGTTCCTCACTGACTCCAGCCGCCCCCGGTAGCCCTGGCCAGAGCCAAGGCTTCCCTTCCACTCTGCGGCCCCTGTCCCTTGACGGGCCCAACACCCGAGGAGGCGCCTGAGCAACTCACTTTTAGGATAGGGAAACTGAGGCAAGGGTTAGGAAGTGGGAGGCTACCGAAGGCCGCGCCTGGTTTTCCCACGAGCTGGGGACAAGGGGCGGGAGGTAGGGCGAACCCAGGGAGCCCAGCCTGGCTCTAGAAGGGCAACTTCCGTGCACCGCGCAGGCTGTTAGTCATTGCCCGAGGGCGGGCGTGGGTCGGTGAGTGTTTAGGGTGACGCAAACGGGGAAAGCGCCACGGCCCGAGCGCACGTGCTCCCCACTCCCTCGGGGAGGCCACCCCCACGGGGAGGGCTGCAGGAGCCCCGCCAAATATAGCCCGCGCCCCCCGCCGCCGCCGCCGCTGCGGACCGAGCTATTTATACCCGGACCGGGCTTGGCCGCTGGCGCAGCCACCTCCGGGCCGGAGCCCAGCCCCTGAAGCCGCCCGACGGGTGGGCGCCGGGCCGGACCCGGGAAGGCCAGGCTGGGCAGCCAGGGATGCGAGGGCGCGGAGGGGCGCGGCTGGCTCTGGGTGGGGGCCGCAGGGGGCGGGAAAGCTAGTCCATGCCCCGGGCGCCCCCGGACCTGACGGGCGAAGTTGGGGCGGGGTGAGAGCGCGGACCCAGAAGCCACCCCCTTGCCGGGCACTGGCTTGGCGCCCCGGGCGGCTCAGAAGCTCCTGGGCCCCGACCCGCGCGCCGAGCATCCGGGCCGCGCCTACCTGCCGCCGCTGGGCCGCCGCGCCCGCCTCTGCCGCCTCTGCCGCCCGGCTCCGCGCCGGGGGCGACTTTAAGTGTTCGGTCGCTCGCGCGGCACGTCCCCCGCGCACGTCACGGCCTGGCGCCGCCCCTGCGCGCCCCGCCCGGACCCCGAGCCGCCGCCGGGGGGGTTCCCGGGCCGCAGCTCCCCGACGGCGCGTCCCGCAATCCCCGCCGAGCCCCAAGATCCCCCGACCCGGAACCGGCCCCGTTCGCCCCCCCGCCCAGAGCTGCGCTTCTCGCCGGGCCAGACCCGCCCCCTCCGCACCCCGCGACTGGGGCCACCCGGCCTCGCCCGCCCCCGGCGCTGGGATGGGCGTCCAGGCTCGCGTCGTCCTCGCGTCCCTCCGCTTCCCCTCCCAAGACCGCGGATGCAGAGTACCCCGGCTCGGAGCGGAGCGCGACGCCTGGCCCCCCAACGCCGGAGCCCCTGTGACTGGGGGGTGCCGGCGCCTCGCTCAGCTCTGGGGCCTGGGTCCTCCTCGCTGAGGCCACGGTCCGACCTGCCCCGTCCAGACCTCCGCCTCCCCCCGGGCGCGGCCTCTGCTGCCGGGATTCGGGGCGAGGCCTCGCCCTCCCTGAACTTCCGTTTCCCCGGGTGGCTCCGCGCCCGGCGGGGCCCCACGAGGCCGCCCACTCAGCCCTGCGCAGAACCGGGCGCAGAGGCCGCGCGCTCGCATCCGGAGAGGCGAGCGCTGCGGACCCGCCGGCCCGGGAGGCGCTTCTCCCGCCCGTTACACGGAATAACGGGGCGCTCCTGGCGCCGGCGTCCGAGGCAGCTCCGGGGCGCGAGGCCTTTGCTGGCCTGGACCGGGGCCGCCAGTTGCCGCCCGCGGGACGCTTTCCCGGTCCCGGCCCCTCGGGCCCGCCCGGGGCTCCTGCGGCCGCCGCGCGTTTGAGGGGAGCTTCTCCCTTTCCGGGCCCGCGAGGGGCGCAGTTTTGGGGGCGGGAACCCAGCGCTGCGCCCCCGCCCATCTCCCCATCCGGGGGTTTAACGGTTTCTGTTTAAATTTCGCGGGCGCGGGAAGAAACGAAGACTCAGTCGCTCCGGCGGAGGTTTAAAGGATCTCCTTCCCCTGGCCGGGGCCTTGGGGAAGGCGGGGGTCCTCCCAGGTCGGGCGCCCCCTTTTTCGCACCCCTCGGACTCCATGTTGGGTCCCTTCGGGAGCGCTCCCTTCGTGACGCCGTCTTTCCCTCCCCGGGACTTCCCTCGGGTCCCGCCGCCCCGGTGGCAGCCGGTCCCCCCGACGCCGTCCCGGTTCCCTCTGCGCAGTGCGGAGGCCGCTCTCCGCCCGGGACCCCCTTTCCGGCTCCTCCGTGTGACACGTGGCGGCTGCTCCTCCCGTTTCTCTCCGAATCGCTTTCTGCAAACGCCCTGTGTCCGGTCCGCTCTCAGGAGACCAGGAACCTGGGGAGGCACCCTCGGGGGAGCTGCGGGCCCCCGAACCCCAGTGTGACCCCTTCACACAAAGGAGGCAGCGGGCATCGGCGGAGGACCCTCCGCAGGGCAGGCGGAGGCCGTGCGGGCCGCGGCGTCCCCACCCGCAGCGCAGCCCTCGGGCGCCCAGCCCAACAGGGCCGCGGTCCTTTCAGCGTCATGTTATGAGCGCGCCCACGATGGCGGCATCGCCAAGAGCTGAGAAACATGAACATGAGAGCACGTGCCGCTGAGCAGAACCCAGGCCTGTGGCAAGGGGTGAGGAAACGGCCCCCCTTGACGCCCGCCCGCTGAGGGGTCTTCGGACTTCGTGGATGAACGCCCCACGTGGTGGGCCCGTGCTCCCGCCCAGGGCAGGTGGCGCTCCCGTCTTCTCCCACCGGGCGATTCGTCACTTTCCACGGAGGCTGGGGGCACAGCAGTGACGGAGAGCAGCCGAGGGGCGTGGGACACCCCGGACAGCTGTGGGGAGGGGTCCCCCACGAGGCACTGCCGGCCGGGGAGGCGGGGGCACCGCGCTCCTGATCCCAGACTGTTGAGTCACCAGGCCTGCCAGCTGGGCTTGGGGCCCCTACTGAATCCACCAAAACACCTTCCACGTCTGCCTACAGCTTGGCCCTGAACCCTGAACGCCCACCATAGAGCAGCCACGAGGGGAGGGAGACAGAGCGGGAGAGCCTGGGGCGTCACTGCCCCCTCCTGCCTCCTGAAGTACAAAGGGGCGGCGCTGCCAGAGCCATGTCTTCTCCCAGCTGGGAAGATGCCCACTCATCCCTCCAGGGGACCCAGGGAGCACCTGGGTTTGGCCATGAGCCCCAGGCCTGGCACCTCCTTAGGCATGGCTTCCCCTGGTTGTGGGCCCCGGACTGCCCACCCAGAGCTGGGTGGAGCCTCCCTGCCCTCAGGGAACGGAGCACACAGGCCAGTCGGCACTGGCTCCCAGCAGAAGTCGAGTCTGTGGGCTTTGACCAGGATGGGGCTGGGAGATCGAGGAGTGCTTGGAGTGACGGCTGCCGGGGCTGAGGCTGGGGGCCTGCGCTGGAAACCAGGTTGTTACCCAGAGGAGAGGCGCAGAGCCGCTAGCAAGCAGGCCACCTGGGACAGGGCCCTGTGAGGTGGGCCCAGAGCCTCCGAGTCCCTCTCCCAGGATTCTGGCTCTCTGGTAGCATGAGGTACCCCTGACCTCCAAGTGCTCAGCTTTCAGAAAGACCCAGCAGCTGTTTTGGGGGAGAGGGCTCCAGGCCTGGCACCAGGGCCCGGGTGGTCAGTCTCCATCTGACACACAGCTCCATGGGCACCTGGGCACTGAATACCACTCAGGTTTCAGGTAAGGTGCCTTCCGGGGAGCATGCCCCTCCCTCAGCAACCCTGGATGTGTCAGAGACAGCAATCGTGCAGCAGGAGAGAGACACCTCTGCCCATGATGCCATCCCCCTGGCCTCTGGGGGCCTGGAGCTGCAGGGAAGGGTGGGAAGGCCCGTGTGTGTTCACAACTCTGCAGCTCCTCTCTGGGTAGTGCTGGGCGCATCCAGCCCAGACCTGGCCCCAGTGCCTGCTCCCCCACAGTGGCCCTGGGTCAGCCCCTAGGCTCAGGCTGCCCTTTTCTGCAGGAAATGAGGTGGGGGAGTGGACAGGTGGCACCATCCCTGGCCAGCGAGCGGCTTCACAGGGCGGCCCCGCTGTGACCCCACTGCTCCCAGCCCTGACCTCTCCCCCAATCTCAGGTGCCCGCACCTGCCCCAGCCTCCTTTCGTTCCCAGATCCAGGCCTGGCCCTCAGGTCCTTCCCACCCTGCTACCTGGAAGGCTTAAGCTCCCTGGGGCACGTGGTCCCACTTTTTCCAAGAGCAACCTTTGTGGGAGGGGCGGGCGTGAAGGGAGGCTGTTTCCTCCCCCATCGTCTGCCCCGAGGGTCCCATCTCCAGTCAGAGAGTGGGAGCCAGGCCCTACCTCTGTGTCCTGACATGGCACAGAGATGTGGAGAGGCTTTTCTGAGGGTCACCGTGGCTGCTGCCCCAGGGACGGTGGCAGAACAGGCCCCCACTCCTATTGGGGGTAGATCTTGAGTCCCAGGGAACTTTCCAGGGCCGGGGGAGCCACACGGAGCCCACATCCTGTGTGCTTGGGAACCCACACAACGTTTTCCAGAT